CTACTATGCGTGTACTTGGCGCCTTTCTTTACCTTTTTTTTAAAAAAGGTAATTTTGTACGGATATCACGCTTTTTTGTAGTATTACGCATTTTATAAACAGTATGTACAGGGTGTTATTTCGAGGTATAATACTACTACTTTGTTTTTTTTCGAGGTAACAGCATAATACATATACACTACTATGCGTGTACTTGGCGCCTTTTTTTACCTTTTTTTTGAAAAAGGTAATTTTGTACGGATATCACGCCTTTTTGTAGTGTTACGCATCTTAATCTTAACAGAAAAAAATTACACCTTATAAAGAAATGTGTCTGAAGTTGTTAATATATATAATATATACATTGCCGGATATTGCTTTTATGTAAAATATGCATTTATATTATGTTGCTTGTAAAAATTATTTCTTATCAACTTTTTCCAAAAATAATAAATTGTGAAACATTTTAAGACTAAAACCAATTCGCTATCTGTATTTTAACTGTACGTACTTTACTCTTGTACATACGTATGGGGTACTCACGTTCGAGTTGGCCAAAGGCCGTGTTTTTATTTTTCCGTTACGTGCCCTACGAGCGGAAATATTGCGACGCAAAGTTAAAATGTGAAAATATTATATTAAGATATTTCTACTAACGTCGACGTCTCTCAATATTTTTACAAAACATATTTGAGATTCGCGCAATTGAGATATATAATAAAATTAATAACGATTCTATAAATCTTAGGTATATGTTAATAATACGACATGATCTTTTTAATCATAAAACTTACAAACTAACAGAAAAAGATTCGTATCTTAAATGCCAATAATTTTTCTAATGTAAGAATAATACTGAAAATATATGGATAAAAATATATATAATAAATAATAACATAATTAATGATATACGCTTTTGTCGCGCATATCAATTTTCAATAATGGATATTATAACAAATACGTTTTACGTTTATTCGAAAACAAATTATGTGTACACATAATAAAAATTGTATGAATTAAAATTATGTGTATACACATAATAAAAATGCGGAATTATTTTTGTCAGACATAATTTTAATTCATCCAATTTTTATTATGTCAAGACATAATTTTAATTTATCCAATTTATTATTGGATGGAATTTATTATGATCCAATTTATTATGTCTAGACATAATTTTAATTCGTCCAATTTTTATTATGTCTAGACATAATTTTAATTCAGCGAATTTTTATTATGTCATGACATAATTTTAATTCTGCCGCTAGGGAATTTTTAAGTCGATTCTTATGAATCAAGCTTGAATTCGATGTCTAGGTGTCCCAGGTTGCCGATGACGAGGTCCACATAGTGCGCTTTATAGTTTTCGGTATCCAGGTGTATTAATATCTTGAATTCGATGTCCACGTGTTCCAGGTTGCCGATGACGGGTTCCAGATAGTGCGCTCTATAGTTTTCGGTGTCCAGGTGTAATAATACGTTGAATTCAATGTCTAGGTGTCCCACGTTGCCGATGACGAGGTCCACATAGTGCGCTCCGTAGTTTTCGGTGTCTACATGTATTAATACCTCGAATTCGATATCTACGTGTCCTACATTCAGATTTAAAGTTATTAATACACCTAGACACCAAAAACTACGAAGCGCACTATGTGGACCTCGTCATCGGCAACCTGGGACACGTAGACATCAAATTCGAGGTATTATTACATCTAGACACCGAAAACTACGGAGCGCGCTATCTGGACCTCGTCATCAGCAACCTGGGACACCTAGACATCAATTTCAAGATATTAATACACGTAGACACCGACAACTACAGAGCGCACTATGTGGACCTCGTCATCGGCAACCTGGGACACCTAGACATCGAATTCAAGGTATTAATACACGTAGACACCGAAAACTACAGAGCTCACTATCTAGACATTGTCATCGGCAACCTGGGACACCTAGACATTGCATTCAACGTATTATTACACCTGGACACCGAAAACTATGAAGCGCACTATCTGGATCTTGTCATCGGCAACCTGGGACACGTGGACATCGAATTCAAGGTATTAATACACGTAGACACCGAAAACTACGGAGCGCACTATGTGGACCTCGTCATTGGCAACCTGGGACACGTAGACATCGAATTCAACGTATTATTACACCTGGACACCGAAAACTATGAAGCGCACTATCTAGACATCGTCATCGGCAACCTGGGATACCTAGACATCGAATTCAAGCTTGATTCATAAGAATCGACTTAAAAATTCCCTAGCGGCACTTTCTGCCAAGCGTAGAGAACCTTTTTTTCCGGCAGCGGTGGTAATACGATGTAAGGATACGAAATCTCTCCAGATAAACATGAAGCAATTGACTCAATATATATTATATAAGTATATACCTAATTTACCTAAATAGAAATCTTCCTCCTGACCGATAAGTCTATCGACCTAATTTCGAAATACGCGCGCAATATCGAAACTGGCGATACCTGCGCCGCCAGCGTCGAAAAAGTGAAAGTAACGTTTCTGATTATGACGTCATCATATAACGTCGGCGTTAGAAGTAGAAGAAGAAGAAGAAGAAGAAGAAGAAGAAGTATCTTAATAAAAAATTTTCACATTTGGACTTTGCGTCGCAATATCTCCGCTCGTAGGGCACGGAGCGGAATATTATAAAAGAAACCCCCCCCCCCTAATTGGACCCCAAGCTATCGATCAAGCCTACTTAGAACTTGATCCGTTCACTCGTTATCGAGATCTCAACATCTCGAGTACTCGCAACCCGTCGCGTCGCGTAAAAGAGTCACGGTCGGTCTCGCTCCGCGTGTACTTGGCGCGAGACACTACCGTGTCTCTTGATAATTTACTTCTTTCAAAAATAAGTCTTTATACAATATTCCCAGTAAGCAAGGAACATTAAATTAACGTTTAGAAATATTGACTTTATGTGTATTTTTTAAACGTTTTTTAATAATATTATACACATATTTGAAAAATATTATTTCGTAATATGATTTTTCTGAATGTTGTTAAAATATTTTGAAAACGTTACAGAAAATATTTTTCAAATGTTACTCTGACATTTATTTGAGATCAATGCAACAGTTCAAAATTCCTTGTAATTTGGACTCAGGAATAACGTTGGTAGTATATTAATTTTCTGTTGTTATAATGTTATCGTTTTTTATTGTGCGCAACGCTCATCGCGACAGCCATGATGTACATTGCATGATTATCCTACATACGATGCGTGAGTGCGTATACACGTGTGTCAATCGAGGAGTGCGGAGTGCTCTTTATTTACAGCATAATTATATATAAGTAATAATTATTATATTCTAAAAGTTGTATATTAATGATAAGAATTCAATTAACCATATACGTGCTATAATTATTTGTGCTATGAATAGTAGCTGGTGATGTAGGATTCATTTTCCTATTTACAAGAGAGATTTACAAAAGAGAGGAAATATTAATTAATTTTTTTACGTTCTATAATAGATTTGTCCTTGGACATTAAAAATATCATCAAGGTTTGTCAATGCTATTATTTCAATGGTACCAAACAGTGTAACTTTCTATAAAATAACCTCAAAATTTAGCGAAATATGTAAATGATAACGTATAAATAAGCTGGTATGTACACTATGCATGAAGACGATTTGTTGAAGTATTGTGCGGCTTTAATACATCATTGTTTGCATATATCACTGTAAAAGTAATTTAGTATAAAATTGGTATAAAGTTGATAGATATGTAACAAACGATCAGTACAAACAAGACCAAAACTGACTTTTTATTTATTTCTATATTTTTTTCACATATATGTGCTATAATCACACTCTAAAGTATATAAATAAATTATTGTAAGCATATTTTATATGTACAGGGCAATGAATATGTCTTAACATATGGGATCAATTGTTGTATCAAATTCAAAAAACCACCATTTGAAAAATTTGACCCTGGCTAAGATAAACATCAGTGAACAATATATTATAAGGAAAACTCTGTACAAGATACTAGAAATGCTAAAAGATGACCAAGAAGCTTTTACACAAGTCGTAAGTAAAGCTGCTTATTATAATTAAATTATGTATATATTAAATTACAACCTTTTTCTTATCTAAATTATATTGAATTCTTCTTGTTTTTTAGAGGCTATTAGACAACAATCCCTTGTAATACAGAGAAAGACTTGGAACACTCTATAATGGAATAGCTTAGATTTGCAAACATCCGTAAACAAAGGAAAAAATCTTAAAAGGTAAAAAAGTAATATAATGTATTTATGTCTGTTAAGTTAGCACCCTCCATAAAAAACCGGAATAACACATATGCAGAAATTAAGTGCTCTTTATGCGTTAATTATGTGCTCTATTCACGATTTTTGTGCTCGAGCGGTTTCGTGGGAAATTGCAATTGAAACTGAGGGTGCTGGCTTAAAGTAAGCTAGCACCCCCACTCATTAAAATTACATATAAAATAAAAAATTCAATATGCTAGAATTATATGCTTTTTATGTGCTTTCAAATGCCTCAAACAAAATTAGTCTATCTGTAATAGTTTAAAAAATATACGCAAAAAAGATATATATACTACTGATATAAAAATAAAGTATCAGTTAAAATAGAGAAAGCGAAATAATTCTTGTCTTAAAATGTTTCTCGATTAATGTGTTCTCGAAATATGCACAATGAAATTTTCGCGCTTATCCCCTTCGACCGACCTGAACGTGAGTACCCCATACGTACAAGAGTACCTAACCAGTTAAAATACAGGTAGCAAATTGGTTTTAGTCTTAAAATATTCCTCAATTTATGTGCTCCCGAAATATGCACAATGATTTTAAAAGCATAAAAATCACATTAATTTTTTTTGTTAATGTAATTTTTTGATACAAATTTTTTAAATAAACAATTATATATGTAATATCTAAATATTCTATTACCATATTCTTTTATACATCATAAAACAAACATATCCTTCAAGTATTAGTCACGCAATTGTAGCGTGAACTGTACTATCATTCATGTAATATTATCATGAAAAACAATACACAAGAGATTCTATATAAATACAAATTAAAGTTTACTAAAGAGTAACTAATTTTGAAAATTACATTTTGTTTCTATTATTAGGAAGGGAATGTTAAAAATTAATTAAACATATGTTTACTTATATGTATTTATATATTGTTCAGAATCTCAGTGACCCATTCTCCATAATATTTAGCAACTTTGCAATACTTACTCCTAACTCATATTAAATAACTTTAAAAATGTATAAAAATACATATACAAATACATATAAATACATATAAATAAAAATTTTTCTGAAATTTTATTAAACAAGTTAATCAATACATTAACCAAAACAAAAATCTTATTCTGTTTATTTTGAAAACACATAAGTTGAGGAACATTTTAAGACTAAAACCAATTCGCTATCTATATTTTAACTGGTACTTTATTTTTATACGTATGGGGTGCTCACGTTTGGGTCGGCCGAAGGGGATGAGCAAAGAAATCTCATTGTGCATATTTTGAAAACACATAAATTGAGGAATATTTTAAGACTAAAACCAATTCGCTATATGTATTTTAACTGGTACTTTACCCTTGTACGTATGGGGTGTTCACGTTCGGGTCGGTCGAAAAGGATGAGCACAGAAATCTCATTGTGCATATTTTGAAAGCACATAAATTGAAGAATATTTTAAGACTAAAACCAATTCGCTATCTGTATTTTAACTGGTACTTTACTCTTGTATGTATGGGGTGTTCACGTTCGGGTCGGTCAAAGGGGATAAGCACGAAAATTTCTTTGTGCATATTTCGAGAACACATTAATCAAGAAACATTTTAAGACAAGAATTATTTTGCTTTCTGTATTTTAACTGATACTTTACTCTAATATCAGTAGTATATAGATCCTTTTTTTACGTATATCTTTTAAACTATTACAGATAAACTAATTTGGTTTGAGACATTTAAAAGCACATAAAAAGCACATAATTGTACTGTATTAAGTACTTTATTTTTTAATATAATTTTAATGAGTAGGGATGCTAGCTTATGTTAAGCCAGCATCCCCACTTTTAATTGCAATTTTCCATGAAACCGTTCGAGCACAAAAAACGTGAATAGAACACATAATTAGCACATAAAGAGCATTTAATTTCTACATATGTGTTATTCTGCTTTTTTTGCGGAGGGGGAGGGGTGCTAACTTAACAGACATAATATATTTTGATACATAGACTAAATCACTGAAGATGTTACAAATATTTCTGAAGTTGAATGAGAAATTCTTATTTTTCAGCAACTGTTTGGTAAAGATCCGGAAAGATTAATAATCTGTTTAAAAGGAAAGAATAAGAGTTTGGAAAAAAATAGTAAAAGAGTTATATTAAACTAGAGCACCTGTATCGCATTGCCTAAAAAAGAGTTAGAAGGCACCTTAATTTCCCTTATCCGAAGGTTGACTTCAAAAATCCCTTCCTAGGATCCCTTCCTAGAATTAATACTTTCTGAGATAATTGGCAGAGATAATTTGTAGAAATAATTGGCACACGAAATAAATCTCATAATAAAACCTATATATGTACATATATGTATATGTATATATTTGTTCATATAAATAAAACTACTTTTTTATGGTAATTAGTGTAGTGCATTTTATTGAAAATAAATACATACTCCCTGAAATAAAAATAAAATATCAATAATAACTTTAAATAAACGTTAGAATTAATATTACGGTAATCTTAATATAATATTGTAATAAAGTTGATAGTTCGTTTAAATTTTTATCTCAAAAACGTTACAGGAATGATAGAAAAACCTTAGCAAAATGTTATTTGCAACGTTATGGCACTCCCATTTCAACATTACTGAAATTTCGGAATCATGGTCAAAGTATATTCATAATGATGTTCTATACAACATTAAGAACTACATATTTAACAACATTACAAGTTCTAGAATATCGTTGCAATAACATTGTAATAATGATTTTTTGCTTACTGGGTTGTAATGTAAATTTTATACATATAACATTCAAGAATCCAATTTTATTTAAATAAAGAAATAGTAGAAAGAATGAAAATCCTACTATCTTGAATAATTTTTAAATAAGATGACATAATTTTTTATCTTAGATAAAAATGAATATACTTTGTATTTTTTTTACCTAAATAAAATAGAGATTATTCCATTTCTTCATCTGGATAATTATCTATAGAGATAATTTTATCTAGATACCGTCAAACACTGTAATCGCAGATAATGTTACTAACGAGAAAAAGAGGATCGCGGCGATGCTATAAGGATCTGAATCACATTGCGTACCAATTTTCCGGTCTCGTTGGAATCGTATAGCGGTTTTATATCCGTGCTGCGTAACAAGGAAAGAAAAATAGGACTCCTTTAAGGTCGGGCAACGAAGTGGCGGGGACGCTGTCGCTGAATTGGACGAGATTAAGAGGGATAAGAAGAAAGTACGTGACCCCAGGACAGTCGCCTCTTTACGTTAGTCAGCTCGGAGGGATAACCGGGTTAGCCCAACAATGAAAGTAATCGAATTTAACACCATCTCCCGAAGAGTGCGCACCCCGGATTTCCGACAAGTGCGCCCGAATTTCTTCGACCTCTCGGCGAGGGACAAGAGAGCTACGACGGAATTACGACGATTGTTGATGAAACGTCGTCGTCAAGGATCGATCGATCTCGCGCAGAATGACGAACTCGTTAGATTTCTAGCCGTGTGAATTTAAAATAATTATTTTTACCAGCTGAAACAAATAAAGAATTTAAGCAAGAGAAGAAGAGTTCGGACAATTTATCAGATATATGATTTTCTATATAATTTTTAAAAATTTCTAATAAATAGTATAAAATAATGTCTTTCTCTCTCTCTCTCTCTCTTTCTCTCTCTCTCTCTCTCTCTCTCTCTCTCTCTCTCTCTCTCTCTCTCTCTCTTTCTCTCTCTCTTTCTCTCTCACTGTTTCTTGGAGCAAATTATTCGAAAAAATTATGAATTCTTACCTCCGTGTTCTTTAGTAATAAACTTCTATTTTTTGCATCAATTATTTATAATCTTCTCCGATGCGTATGGCTTAACACGCGTCGTTTATCGCCTCTTAGCATTCATAACATCACGTTACATCAGAAAGATCGTTTAACGTAGGCCTATTGGTTAAAGGGTTACAGCGCGCCTGTCGCTTCGCTGACGGCACAACAGCAATAAACAACACATATCCAGTGCATCCATGACGTGCATCCGACAACGCAAAGTAGGGCGATCGACGGGCGTGATAACCGGCAGCACATGCTTCCGGTAATTCAATGAGGCGAACAATGCCGGCCGCTCGTAGAACAGAGAGATGCGTAAATAAATGTATGATATGCTTCTGAAGGGTGAATACAGGAGAGGGGGGCCCGCGCAGCGAGGGGCGCCAGTCTCGCGCCCTGCGGATCCGCTGGGGTGTGAACGCAAATCAATTTGCACGGCGAGCCCCCCGCTGACGCTGGCGGCACCACGCCGAGGGACCGATTCGGTCGGTGGGCCCTTGGCGTGTTAAAACGCCTCAGGACAAGATAGCGCACGGCTCCTTGTGACTGGCGTTTGTTAAAATCGTGCTAACAGCGGTCTGACGACAGCCGCTGGCGGAAAACTTACGGTATTAATTCTCATATATATGCGCGGCGTGTGTATTTTGCATAATAAGTGCGATTCAGCTGATTAAGCTGATGGGTACAAAATGATATTTTGTTATACGTTTGGATATACGTTATTGTTCCAAAAAATCGTAAAATGCAGAAATACTATAAATCTTGAATAAATTACTCCCTAAAAGTCGAAGAGTGAAATATCACTCAAAACGAGTGAAATGCAGGTGTAACAAAAAATGACCCTGTGCACTTTGAGTGATTCGCCACTCCAAGAAAAAGTAAAATCGCACTCCATTTGATTGAAAGAGCATTCTTTTCGAATGCAGTAGATCAGGCCTGTCTAACCTGCGGCCCGCGGGCCACTCGTGGCTCTTTCCCCCGCCACGGAGCTCGAGCTCGACTCCCCCCACTCTTCCAGTTGGTTTCCTGACTCTTTCCATATTTGACATGTATTCCTAGTTCTAGCGGATATAGCATCTAGCATCTTAGCTTGCTTATGAGCTTACTGTTCCCACGTTACGACGTGTATGCACAGTACAACTTAAAGGCTTAAACCATATTATTAAAACTGAATAATATTTCAATAAGTTATTTATTGATCGGCCTGACTGGCAATAATTGATTAATGTTAAACGACGTTTTGATCTCTAATTTGGGTCTCCTTATCAAATTACATTTAATGCTGGAACAAAATAAATTGCCGGTAACAAATATAAAATGGAAACAATAATGCAAATTACATATTCAACTTACATGGATCATTATGCGTCAAAAGTTATAAATTACTAGTCATCGTTAAAACTTGTGTAACGGGGCGATAGAACAAAGGAATGTAAACTCATACACTTTTTGTTTTATTCGTTGACTGCGCTTGACTAAAGGTCAATTCAGAAAAACTTGCATAGCGCATAAACATAAGCATAAAAGAATTGATTGGTCCATACGCATGTGCATAAGGAAATAGACCAATCCGTTTCGTTATGCGCATGGTTATGCACTTATGCAAGTTTGTGTGGATATAGCTTTACAGAGTTTATTGTGGAATTTATTTTTAATTTACACTTTTTGTTTTACTTGTTGACTGCACCTATTTGGCTCATAGTTTTTATTTTCTATTTACACTTTTGGTTCACGCGTTACCTGCTCCGATTTGATTCATTTTTATGTATTATTGTCGTGAATTTAGACTGCGCCTGATTGAATTATGTAGATCAACTTCGTCGAATTTTATGTATTATCTTCGGGACCATCATGTATTTTCTTTACGCTGAAGATGACACAAAAAAGTGTCGAAATGTCCGTTTTTATTATAATATATTTATTGTTACGATAATTTGATTGCGCATTAATTACCGCGTTTGGTTCCTATTGCCTCCTTATTTCCTTTACTTATTGATTTATTCAGGAAAGCCTACTTTTATTTAATTTATATTATATATTATATTCTGAAAAAGTCGCATATATATACCGAGATATCACCATCAATACCATACTCAGTTATATTGCTTTATGCGTAAATAAGAATATGACACGCACTTGTGCTCTGTATGCGTATTCTTAGTTACGCATAAAGCCATCAAATATAGCTATTCTACTTCTACTCATGCTGCGAGAAACCGCTGCCCCGATACTACTGGATGGTGGGGGAAGTCTGAAGTGGTAAGAGTGGGAGCAGTGGCTCCTTCGCTTCGAGCAGTTAGACAGGCCTGCAGTAGATCAATGATCATAAGAGTGAATTATATCACTCTACAATTTTGAGTGGAAAATTTTACTTTGTAGCGTAATTTTACTCTATCTTAGAGTCATTTATCAGTCGATCTTTACACAGAAAGAAAAGAAACGTCAAATCTGATCAACATAAAATCAAATACAGATATACTTATATACACGCAAGTATATATATAAACTTGAAATGAGATTATATTATATTAAACAAAGGAAACTTGCTTGAATGAAATCATTTATTTAGTTAAACGAAGTATTATTTAAGTCAATAAAAAAAAAATTAAAATAAGAAATTGAAATTCTTATAAGAAGATTATGATTGCGATAGTTACTCCAAAAGAAAAAGTTCACTCTAATTTGAGTAAATGCGGGCATGAGGTCCTATAGGAGTGAATTTTATACTCAAATTTTTAGCGCGGCTACTCTACCGCAGTGATACGATGTCTGCACTCTAAAGCTATAGTGAATCACGATTCACAACATAGAAAGAAAAAAAAGTGTCAAATCAACACTGATATACTTGAATATATTATGCGAGAATATATATATTCTTTCTCTCTCTCTATCTCTTTCACTATAGCTTTAGAGTGCAGAGATCGTATCACTGCGGTAGAGTAGCCGCGCTAAAAATTTGAGTACAAAATTCACTCCTATAGAACCTCATGCCCGCATTTACTCAAATTAGAGTGACAACTTTTTCTTTTGGAGTGACTATCGCAATCATTCTAATGTCTAATATATTAATGGCGAAATCACTCTATGAGATTTAGAAAGTAGAACTGATCTTTTCCATGTAAACTATGTATTAAAATATATAAATAAAATATATAAATAGAAATATTTTAATGAATGAAATGTATGAAATACTTTAATGTAAAATATATAAAATATTTTAATGTATAAAATATATGAAATAGTTTAATGCATATAGAATATTTATGTCTCGGTATATACTTTACATTTGCATATCGCAATAAGTATGACATTTTTTTAAAGAGTTTTTAGAGCGTCAAGGGATTTTTAAACGACCTAACTATAAATGTTCTTAAATTTTTGCTACGCTATGACGCACAATATTGGCTATCTACATATCAACGCAATCGACGTTTAATTTTATCGTTTGCGAAAATGGAAAGACAAGAAGACCAGAGTTTTGCCCTCGGTCAGGCGGTTACAACACGGTAAAGACTGAAGAGCCTCCGCACAGATAACCAATTATCCGCGGAGAGGGGAACGAGATGCGACAGATGCGTCCCGACGCGATGCGCTGCGATGGCGCGCCGTCCACAATCGCCGGATTAGCGCAAATCCTCACGGATCGGTTAGATGCAATTAAGTGCATCGTGCGTGGATAAGAACGGCCGAAATGTTCGCACGGGCTCCCGCGGGGCTCACACTTGAACTCTCGCACGCAAATGTCGCTACTCCAACAACAAAAGGCCGCGTCTTTTATCTTCCTTGCCTCCGTTCAGTCGTGATCGAGAGCGAAAATTTTTCGCTTACCACGCTCGCGTCAAGATAGAATGTATCTGTTTTTTACTAAACATTATTTCTCTCATTATCTGATGTGTCTCTTTCTCCTTTAAACACTTTTATCAGTCAAATATGCGTGTTGTAAAAATTATACAAATGATAGATTTAATTGATTTTCGACTTTACTGTGAAATCTATAATTGAGGAGATACGTAACTTCTAATTTTACTCTTAACTTGATTATATTTTTATAAGCAATTTCACCTGGGATGATTTTTACATTCCAATTGAAAATCATTGTTATTAAATACATATTGCATATTTTTTATTGTTCTATAATTTATTAGTATTTGAGGGAAGTAGGTATGTATATATTAGATTTACTTAATTTCTGAAAAAGTAAGGAAAAACCAAAAAAATATTTAAAAATATGGAAGAAACATTAAAATTGTCGAAAAACTGAAGCTCATATCACAATGGTGCCTGGGGTGATTTTTACGTACAAAATTTTTACGTATAAAAATCACCCCAGATGACCATTCTTGGATAAATCTTAGAGTTTTCGACTCGTAAATTTTTCATATTTTTACAATAGAATTATATAGAGTTTCAAAACTGAAGAGGAAGGTTATCGATGGCTGCTCTCGGATCATCCGGGGTTAATATCGAGTTAAGTATCGAGCGGAGCCATGTGGGCCAAGTTGAGTGAACTCATCCTAATGCCGGGTCACAAGCGCGGGATGGTATAATGTCGAATCCGCCGGGGGCCCATCGAGAGCTAACCCAAGAGCCGCCGCCGCCGTATCGGCGACGAGAGTTATACTCGGGGTATCCGAGAGCCGGTGGCAAAGCCGGTGGCGCTCGTACGAGGAACTATTACCGTCCCCCGGGAACGGCCATCCATCTCCATCGGATCCCTCTCGCGCGCACGAGTTCGGAATCGGCCGTCCCGGTCTCGCTCGTCCCCGCGCTCGATCCGTGTCAGGGACACGCAAGCGCGCGGCGGCACTCGATACTAGCGCAGCTATTAACCCTCCGTGCTTTTTGAAAAATAAACAGGCACGGCTTCGTGACCGAAATGCAAAGCGGCGTCTCGCCGAAAGCCCAGACCCGATGCCACATCCGCGGCGTTACAATTCTTTTCCTGTCACGGATTGAGTTGCCGGACTGTTAACGAGTGCGTCGATGAACTATCGCGTATGAGGGACGTTTGACCGTGACGAATATTGTTATCCACTCGCGGATACAGTACTTCGTATCGTACAATCTCTCGTATCGTAGAGAAAGAGATTGCGCTTTTGCTCAACTTGATCGATTAAAATTCTGCCCGTTGCAACCGCGACTGTACATCCATATTACTTGTTACATTGCGATGCATTAAAATTATGTTAAGGAATTAGGACGTCGTTGGGTGAATAATAATTAATCCCAATTATATTCTCCGTGCGGATGCAGCGCTAATAGTGTAGACGCGGTAGACGAGCGCAACTGTTGCCTAATTAAATTAAAACCCGAGCTCATTTAGTACAGACTTCTGAAGACTTGTGAATCCGGGAATACAGTCCTGTTTCTATATATATATATATATATATATATATATATATATACATATATACGAGGTTTAGCACGTTTAATTTAAGACCGAAATAAACTATTAAGCATGAATCTCGATGTCCCAACAATTTATTCCTGCACTGCACAATTTCTAGGAATCTAGATGCTATGTTCCGATTATTCGAAACTTGGACTCACCTGTATATCAGCTTTCGTCGGACACTCCTCTTGAAAAAGCCGCTGCAGCCGTTGCAGGCGAGTATCCCGTAATGTTTTCCGGAGCTGGTGTCGCCGCAGACCACGCATATCAGTCCGAGGCTACGCGGTGGTTTACTGCCGTGCTGCGGCTGCTGTGGCTGTTGCTGCTGCTGTTGCTGCTGCTGATGCTGCACCTGACCCAGCAAGTGCGGGTGACCGTTCCCGAGTGCGGTCAGGTACGGCGACCGGGCCAGAGGGAAGTCCGTCGGCATTCCTCTGCAGAGGGGCACCGGGCACTCCTGGACCGACCGGGAGGCGTAAGGATCGTGGCTCGACGTGGACCCCGTCGCTCCCAGAGGACTGTAACGCTCCGGCAGGCCCGGGGAAATGACGCTGCTCTCGCCTGAGTCTGGAAAGCGAGTTCGTTTATTTCATAATTTTCGCAATGAGATCTAACAAGAAAAAGAGGCAAATATTGTATTCGCTTAATTATTTATTATCATATAATACAGATTTTTTTGCCTTATTGCGTGGATAAGATATATAATCTACTTCAACAGCACTTTAAAAGGTACAAAACGATCCTGTTTGTTTGACAAGAAGAAAACACAGGGACTAAAATTGTAATATATGTATGTATCTCTTTTGGTATAAATTTTTTAATCGAATCTACAAAACTTTGTTATTACAAAAGTTGTTACAAATTTTGTGACAGTATATTAAACTCTTATTATAAGTTACAGCCTGTCTGAATGTAAAATTAACGAGTCCGGTGTCAAAAAGGTGTTGAACTCAAAGAGTGAGTTAATTACACAAATTTTATCGGTAAATGACTTGCGTTGATAATAAAAAGATATAAACAGGGAAGCATAAATTAATATATACTGTCTTTATCCAGACGTCGAAATCTTTTAAGAAAAACATTTCCGAAAAAATGATTATGTCGATAATTTGCCATCGTCAAAATATCTCGTATTCTTCAATATCAATACAAATTATTTTCCTTGTAATCTCGTGCCACACTTTGTACAATTGCAGCGACTGCGATTGAACGAAAGTGTTGACGGAGTGTCTTTTGATTTTTTCGTGGGGATCGAAAGGTGATACAAAGCGTTATTGTAATTTGATCGATTGTAAATCCAGTTTTAAATTTTTTCAATTCAGACTAAAACATTGAATAATTTCGTACTTTTATTAAATAAATTTACGAAGGTATTTGCTTGCAAAATACAAATGTAAAATGAAATTGGAATTGTTAATAATATTAGTTTGATCCTTGCGTAACTTAATTGAAAATATCGCTGGATTGTTAAATTACCCCGCGCTTATCTGTGATTATAACTTTAATTACAGTTTTAATTATAACGAGCTTCAATTTAGCTGAATTATACTTATGGCATTTACATATTTCTATTAATTTAATCCATTACATTTTCAACGAGACAGAAATGTAACAGTTTTCAACGTCACAATTTCCTACAATTTCGTGCACAGTGTAAAAATTAGTTTTATTTATTATACATTATATAATAATTACTTTATTTTGAACGAAAATCGATATAATTCTTTGTGGACCGCAATATCGCGATCGAGAGCGGGAAAAGATAAAATCACATTATCTCTCCAATTGCAATATTATGTCTGACTGTGGCAATCCATTATCTTTTTTGGTCGCAGAATCCGCTTCCTTGGCGCTGCGACGAAAAGCCCGAGATTTACGATCAAAGTATCATTTTTCCACAATCAGTTCGGCGTTTTCATTTCGATCAGCCGGCCGTTACTTTCGGCTTAATCCCAGAAATCTCTTTCGCACGTTCGGGCGATCAACCCCCGGCCGGGGCAGGTCGAAAAGTCCCTGCCACAGTCCCTGATTGATTTCGAAGAACGAGGGTCGTCGAGCACCGCGATTAGCCCAGTCAAATTAGATTATTTTTGGGCGTTTGAATGAAAAAATTGCCGGCAAGCTGGAAATTGGTATACAGGTTCATTTTAGTGTTCTTTTAAACATACTAAAAGTCCCCATACATAGAGCGTGAGCCGGCTGCGCCATCTTGAAAAAAAGAGTACAAAAATGGGTTTTTTGCAAATAACTCGGAAATTATTAGTTTTACGGGAAAGAACATTCAGAGCGAAAATGTAGCTGATAAAATTCCTCGCAATTTGGTTTTTTGTAGAACTTCGTACGACCATTAGTTCCCAAGATAGAATTTTTTGAAGCATTGGGCAAATGAGAAAAGAGCTGTTTCTTCGAGTGTTTTTTCAAAATATCTCAGTTCTGGCTGTCCGAAAGTAAAAAATGCATACAATGAAAGTGAAAGATAATTAAATTACCTACAAAATGCATTATTTATGTTATACCGCGCGACTAATATTTCTAGAAATATTACGGTTTAAATGAAATTTTAACTTTTGGAAATTGTGAGAATAAATATTTCCTCGCAATATAAGTCGGAAATGGGTAGTCCTACGTAAAAAATTGTTAAAATCAAGTAGAAAGGTTATTAAATTTTCATTATTTTGGTTTTTGACCGATTTGCATACGACTAATAGTATTTTTGATATCCGTAAAAGAAACGGTTTTTAGGTACACTTCTCAAAATGGCGGACTTTTGAGTTATCATTTTTAAAAAAATACACATGTTTCTTGAAGTTTATTAAATTATCTTCAAAATGATTTTTTATTTGACTTTCTGTGATGAATACTTCCAGAGATATAGCCTTTTAAATATTTGTTTATGTTAAAAATTTCTTAATAATTTACAGTTTTTTTTACAAAACATGACATAAAATTACTTTAGAAAAAATAATATCGACATTTTTTCAAAAGTTTATATGCATATGTATGTGATCCTGCAGTGGAACCGGTTTTGAAATGAAAGTTTTTAAAAAATTGTTATTTCAATTATGCCTTTCATAAGAGTTTTCGTAAAAAAATTGGGTTTTTTGAGAAGTGTACCTAAAAACCGTTTCTTTTACGGATATCAAAAATACTATTAGTCGTATGCAAATCGGTCAAAAACCAAAATAATGAAAATTTAATAATCTTTCTACTTGATTTTAACAATTTTTTACGTAGGACTACCCATTTCCGACTTATATTGCGAGGAAATATTTATTCTCACAATTTCCAAAAGTTAAAATTTCATTTAAACCGTAATATTTCTAGAAATATTAGTCGCGCGGTATAACATAAATAATGCATTTTGTAGGTAATTTAATTATCTTTCACTTTCATTGTATGCATTTTTTACTTTCGGACAGCCAGAACACTAAAATGAACCTGTATACCAATTTCCAGCTTGCCGGCAATTTTTTCATCCAAAAATCTTAATTTGACTGGGCTAGATCGCGCATAAAATAATTGCGCGCACCAGCTAAAGGCCATCGCACACAAAATTGCATAGGCTGCATATGCATAGTATAAGACCGCTGGACCAATGAGCATCTTATGTAAATTAATATGCCGACTTTATGCCAGATGCTCATTGGTTTAGCGATCTTATGCTACGCTTATGCTAAGCTATGCATTTTGTGTGCGATGGCCTTAACGCTCGACCATTATGGACCGTGAAATTCGCGCGGTCTGCTTCACCGTTATTCAATTGGCGATCGATATCATCTTGAATTGGTAATTGAAAATTGTCTCATAACTTTCGACAAAAGCGATTCAAAGGATTCTGTCATCCCTTTCTTTCGTCGGGATGACATGACATCCTCGTATTACGTAACAGCGATTAGATTTCATAACAACATGTACTTCGAGATGATTACTTAAGTGAACAACGACATATTTTGTCCAAGACTCTTTTTAGAATGTAGCATTTTTACGAAGTATAAATTGTTTATATTTAATTAAACAGAATTTTGAAATTAGCAAACAATGAGAAATATTTAAATCTCTCATCGACTGTCGAAGACACGTCATTTTTAGCGATTCATAGCGATTAGCGCAGCGAAATCGTTTCGTGCGGGCGCTATCTTGACATCATCCCGCTTGTCAATCCGCGTGGTAATTCTCAAACGGATTTTATCTGACCCCGCAGCATTAACGAGGCCGAAACGAGTTTTCGATCGAGTTCGGGGATGGCCGACAAATACAATTCCGGCGAGATCTCGCGCCTCACTGAGGACACAGGACACCGGCGTGACTAATAAAGTCGAGCCGAGTAGAGAGAAGCAAAATCGCATTTCGTTGATCGCGCAGATGTTCATCGCAATGGCGCACGCGATTTTTCCGCTGAAACCTGTTTATCGTATTGGCAACACATTTCGAGGATTCGAGGAGACCTCACCTCTTTCGTCGCACTTTTCGCTGCCAATTTTACGAGACCGCAATCGCGTTTTTATGAAAATGGAATTTCATTAAAACAGGCTTGCTATTAGACGTGAATAAAAATAGAACGGAATGTAATTGTACCGTTAGAAAATAAAGTTTAATCGTAACTTGATAACACTTATGCTACACTGTTAAATTCTTAGTATCAAATTATATTCAATTTTAGTCATTTTTAATTATTTCTATAGGTCGCTACTGCTCTCTCCTATACTCAATATGACGTTAATTTAATTAAATTATATAATGGAGTTCAATAATAAATTTTGACACACATGGTAGTTAAAAATAACAAAACAATATTTAACTCAAGGTATTGCTTTAAATATAATTCTTTAATATATAGTTAACAGTGTAAATAAATAAATGTATTTGACGCAGCTGTACATATAGAGATTCCCGATTTATATTCGTTCATATTATAAAAATATATTCATGGAAGGAAAATCGCGATAAGTTTCGGAAATTCTGATTCAAGTAGGCAGCAGGTTGACGACGCGTGTCGCGCGACGCGTGTTTACACCGGAATGGTCCCTTCTCATTTATTCGACATAAATATTTATATTCGAGCCTTCTTACTTCCTGAGCTTTTTCCAAACTCATTTCCCGATGTAAATACTGTTTGTCTTCGCGATCCATCCGGTAAGCCTTCGGGGACGCGAAGAAGAAGCAGAGATTCCTCGTGGGGTGCCAGGAAGCTATCGAATATAATAACTCTGCCGTCAGAGAAAGAGATATCCTACTGTTGCCAAAATTCTCTTCTTATCTCAACGTGGCCTCTCGGAAACCCAAACCTATCTACGAATTCGCTACAGCTTGGACAATCCGATTGCATCAAATCGCATCGCTCCCGATCGTTATCAAATCACGTCGGGACAGGCGGCCGGTGTCAGTTTTATTAATTCAACTCACGTGACTTTGTATAAGCGTCCGGGCTTTTCGATCTCGTTAACGCACACCCTCTAATCCTGTCGATTAGAGTATATTCTGACGCATTCTGATTCAATCTTCGGAACAGCGAAATATCTGTTCGACGATAACGTTGAGATGCAATCGATTTGTGATGACTATATCTTTTCATTCATAAACCGGTGACAGTTATTCGCAATCACCGATTAATATTACCTTCGATCTTTGTATTTGGTTTACGCATTACATAGCTGGAGTACACAAAAGATAAATAATTGTAAAATCATTATTTTCGTAGTTTTAAATGTATATATATTTAAAAATGCGCATACGTACACATACGCGTTCGCAAATTACGGCATTAAGCTAATCAAATCTTGTCGCGGTGCAATCTGTCGGCCGCGTGGGGTTAACTGAGAGGAGAAAAATGATGGTCCAATATAAAATACACACCCGCTATAAGCCACCCGCACCGAGAGTAACGCACGCAAAAGCAGGGGCGTCAAATTTCATTAGCATATCAATGCTGGCGGATGGCAAGGCGCCACCTGCGCCCTCGTATTATGGGATCATCGGGAAAAGCGAGAGGGGGTCGAGTTGCGAGTGGGGCCAGGGGTTGCGTTAGTTGGAGAGATAAAAAAAGTGGTTTGTTCCCCCTTTTTCGATACATTCTTTGCTAATTTCGGCTAATCGTTAGCGCAATTTGTCGCATATTTTCGCGAATACAACGTTAGCGAACATTTCTTTATGCTTTGCTATTTTTACCGAAAAAATATGTGGAACAAGTGTTATCGAACGAAATTATAAATATGATTTAAAACAGATTTTTATAAAAGATTTAAAGAAAAGCAGCTATCATTGCAAGAATGCTATGTACTGAAAAAACGGTTTTACTAAAGTATATAAAAATTAGGCTAGATGCAGATCTAACAATAACTATGCTGACCATTAAAATAATTTTGTAGATTCAAGCATCATAATGCTGCAAAAATTTACATATTCTATTAATCTATAGCAATCAGCTTGAACGTCTAATATAATTATTTAGATGGCCTAACATAATTATTTTCAAATCTGTATTTAGCTAAGTTTTTACTTCTGCAAAATCGGTCTTTCCGCATGTGTACATGTTTATTTTCCAAAAGACAGAAAGAAAAAACAAATCTTGCATTTATTGCCATCAAGATTTAAAAAATGTCGAAATAATGTTACTGGGACAACAGTATTTGATGCGTTGGCAAATATAGTATTAAACACAGCTATTTTAAATAAATGCAAGTTGATGATGACGAAATACAGTGAGATACAATGTGTTAAAAAATTGCAGAAGCTCGGTATACTTACCGTTTAAATTCAAACTACAGTTCAAGATACGGCTAAAGTTTAAATATACAACGAGAATTTATTGATGATTGAGAAAGTGTGTGTCATCATTCATACAATATAAACAAGATTGGATAAACATTTGTGATTCGACAAAAATTACATGAGATCGAATTGTATCTGTAGTTCCGTAAAATTGTCAAACAGGTAAAATTATTATTAAATGTTCTCAAGTTGTGCATTTTTTAGTATTACACAAATTTCAGAGAATGTCACCGAATCATTGGATTAAAGTTTACAGGTGTAGTTTTGCAAACCAACTTTGATTCAATAAACTTTTAGTGTTTGAAAATATCACTTTTCTCGTATTAAACTTAAAAAATGTAAATAAGTAACAATACACAACGAGTAACACACATTATACATAATATACATTATTTATTTTTATTTAAGTATTACACATATTTAATGTCCAAAATAAAATTTAAATTGTAAATAAAATTAGTACAATAAAAAAAGTATATCTACAGTTTTGGATCGTTAACAGTCTATGGCTAAAAAATATGTTGTGATTATTTTAACAGACCTTGGAAAAAGATTGGAATGAGCAGAGAAAATTATCTCGCACTTCTGTCCGTCGCTAAAAGCCGACGATGCGAAACGATGGGCAGAATGCACCTAGGTCCATCCCCGCGGCGGACTTTTATGCGAGTTACAGTCGTGGGGTGGGATAAGTGGGAAAAAGAGGGTGACATGTAGGCAACGACATTATACCATTAGAATAATCAAATCTTGGCTGACCTGGCGCGACCGGAGGAAGAAGAATCGCGCGTTGATGCAAGTTTATGCATTATATTACGCTATGCATTACATTATGCGTTACATTAAGCCGCGAAAGAAATGTCGCGGGGAGGATATATTGGGGAAATTAATGTCTAATTATTGATCTACAGTAAAAATTATATGCAGCAAAAGGATTAAGATTTAAAAATATTTTTTTGTAAAAAAATATATTGCTGCTTTCTTTTCGACGGATATATCTTTTTTATATAATTTCTCAGATCTTGTCTTAATAAGTCCGTACACTTGTTTATTATCAACTAGCAGTTATCCTTACTTTCAGTTTCCGTGCATTATAAATGCGCATCTTCACATATTCCATCATTTAAAATTGTATCTTTTTTTACGTGTGCCTTGGCACATTGAAATTAGAAAGATTTAATCCTTTTAGACACACGTTAACGCGATAACGCGTCATATTATGTAATAACTTATTATAAAAGTTAAATAAAAAACATGACAAAAAATAATAACATTATTAATTCGTGCAACAATAAGTTACTAGTAATTATAAGTAAATTGTGTTCATTTTTGTCGACCTTTATTATACTTGTATTGATAGTTAAAAATGCAAGCTATGTCGTATTTGTATAACGCGCGCATGAAGACATATCGTGCGTTAGACGCATATTATAACGCGCGGGAACGCATGCATGAAAACTAGAGGTCAAGTCTGTTCACTAGAGGTTAACACCTAGCCATCATGCTAAAGGTTTATAATCTCGACTGACTTTCGCACGCGCGGTACAAAAGTTCCAAGAATATATTTGACTTTCGAATGTATTCAATCTTCTTATTATATTTTCAGCATATTTAACTGTATCCCAGACAGCACGCATGTCCAAAATTGAGAGTTGAGACATGGTGCTGTCTAGGTATGTTCCCTCAACTATCGGAGAATAACAGTAGATCACTTCAATTATAACTTCCTTATTTGTGTTCATATTGTGGCCATTGACCCTTTCATGTTGTTTTGCGTACGAGGAGCTTATCTATAATATTTTAAATATATCTTTTTTGTTATCTTACCGTGTCTAACGCTCAGCGGACTGGCGGGACTCCGTGGGTGCTCCGAAGTCGGTTCATTTTGCCCTTGTTGATGCTGATGCTGATGATCCTCGGTGGCCGTGACTGTCGCCGTTCCGTTCATCCTGCCTCCTCGATCATTCGTTATCCGGCCGATGTCGAATGCGCTAAAACTGGCATGCAACTCCTTTGTACGTGGCTTACAATTTAAATATATTTCTCTTGCAACCTAATGCAACTACCCCATATTTTAATATAAAATATACAAAGTCCAAAAATTTATTTTGTTTCATGAGGATTAACTTCAAACACCTCGAACGAGAAATAATATATCACAATAAGTTTGATATATTTATTTTTATAATTCGGCGGACTTAATTTCTAAGATTTTTAATTAATTTTAATCAAGTTAAAGATGATTTATTAAATAACATTTTTCTTAAAATAATCGTTGCAACAACTAAAGTAATCTTTCACTCTTCTTTAGCAAAATTATCTATCTTATCAAACATATCTCTTATCTCTAACGAGAAATTTCTAATTCCTCTTAATGAAGAAAGAGTATTTTAATTTATCTTCACTAAAAATCGCTCCTTTCAAAGCTAAGCTCCAATGTGCTCATGTCCAATTGAAAATCATTGCAGACTCACTCAGGGTATTTCAAGCTTGCATATCCGCACCGTAAAACGTAGGTCACTTCTTCTGCGATCACTGACTTCCCGATCTTCTTTAATCTACCACCAAGTTCTTTGACCGCTTCGATCTCAGATTCTCCAATCCAACAATCACCACCGGTACCAGCGAATGTGATGCACTTGGGCGAATCCGAAGAAATTTAAAATCATGAGGCGCGATCGAGACCGGCGAACGCGAAGTGAGAAGAAGTATCTTGGTACCGCGAGGAAGATATCGTGCGGGTGTCCGCGGTTCACGCGCTATCGAGATCGACGAGTAGGCGGAACGATCGTTTGTCGATGTCGGATTGGCGTATGACGTCTGCGGCGTCCCGATCCAGGATCTCTCGGACGAGTCGTCGTTACCCGCGGATGACGTCGGCGTCGTCGACGCCGCCGCCGCCACCACCGCCACCGCCACCGCCGTCGCCGTCGTCGTGGCGCTTGCCGTGCCGTCGGAGGCAGCGGACGAGCAACGCCCGGCGCCGATTGGTCCGCCGGCACTTTTGAAGGCGGGATCAGGAGGCAACGCCGGAAAAACGACAAAAACGAGGAGCGGGAGGATTTAACCTATAGCTTCCACGTTTGACGCGGTGCCCCGCGACGCCCGTCGTCGGGACGAGGCGCCTGCGCCGACCCCTCCGACCCTTTCCGATGACGCCTGGTATAGTGGTATCTCCCCACCCCCGGCGACCTCCCAGACCAAAACTGCCCCCCTACCGAAGCGAGACGCCGCCGTCACGGGAAACGACGCCTACCTGGAGCGTCGGGGCAATTGTTGATCGTTGGCTACGCGACGGCGAGCTTCTCTTTGCCGAGTCGCCTCGGCATCGGATCGCCTGGATAAAAAGTGACGATGCGCTGAACGACGCGCGACGGCCGGGACTCTTTTGATCTGCCGTAGATTAATCGAATCCGGCCGAGGGATATGGTCGAGTGATTTACAAGCAAAGGTTTACGAGCGGGACTTGACGATAAAAGTTACGTAATTTTCTGTTTTATTGCTCTTTGATTAAACAATTTTTTAAGAAACTTTTACTCGATCTATTTTTATATAATTCGCAGCACAAGAGTCATAATTGAAATATAAACGGAAAGGAAAAAATTGAATGTTATCAAGAAGCAGCGAGGCATTATCAAGATGATTGCAGAATGCCAATTTCCATGTTACGTTCACGTCAAAGATGAATTATACTTTTCAATATTGTATTATTTGTCAGATTAGAATTGATATTTTCTAGATAAAAAGATTCCAATCAGTCCTCCACAAGAAAAAAAGAAACTCTTGAACCGACGGAGTCGTCCCTGTCATTCTCGCCGGGGAATCAACGTTCAAAAGGAAATGCTAACGGAGCAATTAATCGAACGATCGAACTTTCGACTCCTGAAGTGTTCTCCCGGACAAATCGAGCGAGATCCACGAGAGAGAGAGAGTGGGTGCGGGCAATCGGCAACGGGTCCGATATACCGCGCGATGCCGGGCGTCGTTGTGGTGGCGGCGGCGCGGCGGCGGCGGCCGGCGTGGTGTGGTAGGCGAGAGCTCGCGACGGTGTTCTAGGGGTTGCTGCCTGGGTCGCCGCCATGCTGGATTCCTGCCGTTGCGCGAACCCCTGGTTGCCTTCTGGTAATCGTTGCCAGGGATGTGACAACCCCACCAGGCTGACGTCGCCACGCCCTGCGGATCGCGGATGGACCAATGACGCCGGGACGTCGCGACGCCGGCGTCCACCAATAGGATTACCCTCTGATACGCTCTTTCGCTTGTCGGTGACTGCTGCATGCCCTCCCGCCCCCCGCGACCCCCTTCCAGCGAAGCTGCATGCCTTTCAATTTCGGGCCCGCGGCCTCATAAACGCAGCCAACCACCCATCCACCCGCGCGCCGTAGGGTTGGATCGGGGTAGAAGGGATCCAGCAAACGCGGAGTAGTCGAGGAACTTGGCGTCAGCGTGTCGGTGTGCACGCAGACAATTGCGATACACCGGAGTGAAAGAGGATACAAAGCTACGTGGAATATCGGGGATTGAGAAGCGGAGGAGCGCGCGCGCGCGCGAGCTTATGGCAATACATGGGAATGCGCGTATGGGACGGCAGGATTGTTCGACATATGTACACATATATACATATATATATGTGTATATATATTTATATATATACATATATGTTTGTGGAGATAGAAATGGTACAGTGACGGTGATCAATCATCCGAATATTATAAGAGAAGAAAACGTTTACATTATATGTATAAAGTTACGTATTTATACAATAAAATTATATTTAAAATTACACTGCGGCCTTTTATAATACAATTTTATGATATAAATACCGTAATGTAATATGGACAAACATAATACAAATTAGAATTTAACTTGATCCTAAACTTACGGTTCTAATTTTCAATTCGCGTATCTATTCAATTTCCATATCTGATTTTATTTTCTGATGCATTGTTAAATATTTAAATAAAAGTAAAAAGATTTAGGACTTTTGAAAATAAACCACACATATGATTGAAGAGCTATGAGAGTACAATATGCTGTTTTTTATTGGTGCGTAATCTTAGATAAAATTAATTTATTCAAATATTCCACATAGAAGGTCAAAATGTTTTGGCTCCAAATTGAGCCATTTTCAGCGGTATAACAATTAATGGAAATTTATATTCTCACGCTCTCCGTTACGCCATAAGTGAGTGCTTCAAAACTGGAGAGTCGAAAAGTCAACAATGTGTTTTTATCGTTGGCGTATAGGCTGGATAATGGATTATATAAAATCATTGTTTGTAATGATAATTTCCGTGATTAATTAAATATCAAATTAGGTCAGGTTAGGTGAAATATTCAGTTTCTCAATAAAGAATTAATATTATGAAATTAATATTGTTACAGAAATATACATGTACATTTATCTATAATTACTATATTATATTCATACTTGGTTGATTATTCCTTGTTTCATCACTTTAATTATTTTTTTCTACTCGTTATGATAACTATGCAAGTAATATAAAATACAGTTGGCATTAATTTTTAATTTGTTAAGATAAGTAATTTTTGTAATTTGTCGCATAAATTGATTTCTATCGTAGCTCTTACGCAAACTTCATCACAACTAAGTTAAAATTCCTGTGGATTCTCGCGATATCTTTAAGATAGAGGATATGTGGATAATCGTAGATTTTACGTAATCCTTACTGAAGGATTAAAATTTTTGAGAATACGATTACGATCAATTTCTTAGAAGCCGAGTATTTGCGAGACATCCATCAAACTCTCGTTCGCCTCGTTTAATGCCACGCTAGAAAGTAGAACGAGCAGCAGAGAGGAAGTCGCTTTTCCTCCCTCGATGAATACCTCAAAGGGGATGCTCCGATCGGTGCGCACATCTCAAGCATCACCCCGCAAATTTACACGTCTCTGCTTTCTTAGCGCGTCTTTTGTGCAACGTTCCTTAGACGAGCGTTATTTTCATGCATGTGTGATAAAGATATATATGTAGTACTTTATGTGAGTTCTCAGAAAAAAAATTCTTTTTTTTTTTAGCACAAATACGACAGCGACCTACGTAATACGAGATTATGCGTTGCGTCAAGTTCTGCTTGATAAAAAAATTATGACCTCCGATATAATAATGATATTTAACAGCGGGGTTTGCTGTATAAAAAACACATTAAAAGAAGCTATGGCAATGAAAAGAAAAAATATTTTATTTTTAAAAGCTTTCCCTCAAGATATAAATTCTAAGTAATATTGATATTATTTTTAAAGAGATTAAATTAAGTTACTAAAATTAAAATAAATATCTTATTTGTAATTATATAAAAGTAATACAATATAAAAAAAATTTATGTAAATATGTACACACATATGCATTTATGTATTTGTATATTAGTGATAGAAGCCAAAACAGAGTGATTCTACTTGAAAAAATAAGAAAAAGAAAGTATAGGACAAAACTTTTTTATATATGCTTTATTTTACAGGAAGACAACTTTGAATATTTAGTACGCGTGCACTTAATACGAATCTGTAATTATAAATATTAAAAAGATACTTCGAGGCTCTACACAATAAAACAAGATGTGTTTACTTTTCAAAAATTTTATATTTTATTAAAAATTGTTAGAAATGTTGCTCACTTTGTCGTATACATAATTATGTTTTCCGTATTAAATTGGTATGGACACTTTCCAGTGTGTTTTATGTCTTCAAGTATATAGGTATTCAAAGGCTACTGATTTCTTTTAACTCGCAATATTATGCGTGACATATAATAATTTAACGTGACCTCATAAATAAACGTACCTAGCAAATCAAATTTTTTTTTTTTTAAACAAAACTTCGTATAAAAAAGTTTTATTTTACATTCCTGATTTATTTTCTTTTTATGTCGAATCACATTTTCCCTCTTGTATACCACCAGTTCCGAATCACCCTGTATATAAAAAAAGCAATATATACATATGTACGCGCGGGCGTGCATATACTAGTATATATGAGACTATATACTGTATATTATGTGAGTCACGAAAAAGAGAATACTCTGTTAAGTTTGAAAATAGAAGAAAATATCTAACAATAATAAGAGAAAAGTTGCACTATTCAAGAGACCAAATATATGACCATACAAATCGCTTTTCTTTTAAGGTTATTTTCAAAATTATTTTCAGATCAGTGATTTTTTTTTAATGACACCAGATTGTATCCAATTTGATAGAGTCGAATACAAAACAAATTCAATGATTATGATTCTACTATGATCTTCAAATGACCTTGGATTTAAACATTTTTAAGCTAAAATTTGATAAATATTCTTGCTGCGATTAATAAATAAAAATTCACATATCAGTACTAGGCAAATCGTTCGAGAAGGTGGCGTTAACAAATCAAGTGTAATACAAATACTATATAAAAGTATAATATAAATTTTATCACAATTTTATCACAATATCACTACATCAATATAGAACTTCACAGGACAGATTTTCCACATACATCTTTTGTTAATTATTAAGAGAGTTAATTATTAGAGATTTCTTAATTATGAGATTTTTGTTACTTTACTCGAAGTAAATTTAAATAACATATAATATGCATTATCTCTATCTATATCAAAACATTTATATTGTCAATCTTAAATTTCTAAGTCCAGTCAGTTGAAAATAATAGTGCTACGTACAAGTTAATGAATTTGCCGATTATAACGCTATTAAATTAGAAATAAACTAGTGCCATTGAAAAAGATGTGTGTGTGTGTGTATGTGTGCTAATTACCTCAAAATGATCTTGAAAATAACCATGCATAAGAGAGAAATATCATTTCTGGAGAAGTATCATCATATATGGCCTTTTAAATTGTATTTTCTCTTAAATATTTTTTTTATCAACGACCTAACAAA